TTGACATCAACAATCAGAATATGAATGTATACCACAACTGCCATGAGATAAACAGAAGTATATCAAATAAATTTATTTATTCAATAAAGTGTAAATAATTAAGCACTTTGGTAACTTGTCTAGTTAATTGTTCAGCATATCGATCCATTATTGTATCATCTACAGTAACATATTTCAAATGTTCACACTGTTTTCCCGATTCAATCGGACATTTTGACTTGTAGTGCAGTTTAATGGCTATATCTGGTTCCACGTATAACGTATTGGCTACATCGGCACGATGACGATGTAATGCAAAATGATTGAATACAGTAGCAATCGAATTCGTAACTAAAAAAAAAAAATTTAGTCGTATAGATGATAAAATTGTAAATATTTGATTTATACCTTATATGGATGTGTTTTTTCTTTTGCAAATGCCAGCTAATATACAAAAGGCTGACTTTGGTAGACATATAAATTCAAATTTTAAAGGAATAAAATAATTATTGCTAAAAGACCACATATGTTGATAAATAATAAAACAGAGGGGAACTAAAAACCTCTGAAGGGAAATGAGGAATAAAACAATTACGAGCTAAAATTCAAGCTTGAAATTATTTCCGGTAAAATTAACTAAATTGTTTAGTCAATATGTTATGCTTGTAAAGTTTTTTGAATTTAAATTTTACATTTGAAAATTCTACTTTTTTTTCCCCCAGAATATTATGTGGATCTCATCAAGAGAAAAGCAGACGGTAAATGGTTAACCTTTGCAAAATCAGTAAAGCTTAAGGTTGTAATTATCAATTCAAAAAGTTAGATTTAAAAGTACTTGATGAAAACTTTTCCATATTCGCCTGGTTTGCTCAGTGTTTCTGATTTTCGTCTATTTCGTAGCATATACATATAAGGTGGAACAAATGAATTCAGTAAGCTGATATTGGACGGAAATTTGAATACATTTCGAATAGAAATTGAAGTAACTTCAATCTTTTTCAAGTTTTTGTCATGAAAGGTAGTAATGATATTATCCAGCATGGCACTCCAATTATCATGTTTCAATGGTACGATCACTTCATCGATATCCAGTATTAGGACAAATTTGTGAGTGTCGATGTGCCTTAAGATAATCATTTCAGCTAAACAAATAGTAACTATTATGTGGAAGAGAAATGCTATAACTCTTAAAATAAAGACTGATGGAAATAACATAATTAATTTTAATTTTCATACTTGAAATTGCATTTCAGTTGATGTAACATAAGAAATACCTGTAGAAACAATCATTATATGGAATTAACTCGTGGCGACGCTTCTGTTGTCTATTTCGCCAAATGAAATGACTTCTGATATATACTTGATTTGGAGACTCACCAGGAAGATTAATCGGTATCTGAATAAAATGAACGACTAGTTATAGTTTAATAATTCATCACATCTTATGAAGAATTCGAGAAGTAAATTTTCAGCCAAAATTATTAAACATTTCAAATATCTCAGGTTAAAATTTTGAGGCTAACTTAAATCGTACTGAATAAAACATAAAATGATACCACAGTGACAGATCCTTGTTTACTGTAATAATTTAATACTTGCTGCATCTTACGTGGTACATAATAAGTATATACTGTAATCGTATCAGCACCAGTGATTAATTGCATTTCGATCCATTCAACCAAACGTTCTGGCATATCTTCAAGATAATCTAGACCCTATAAATTTGGGAAATTAAATGTTATTTTTGGTTTTTTAATAGTAATATTAAGGTCAAATGATCACTAATGCGTTCTTCTTTACAATGCTGATTCGGATTAATTATTAAATAAATTACTTTATTAAATAAATTATTAAATAAATTTTTAGAATTGAAACGTCACCTTCACGCATACAGCAATGCCATTCTTCGCTTTTCTTGATGATCGCATTCGTACTTGTGCTGAAATTTCCTGACTTTTACATGCTGTTTTACTCAATGAAATTGTCAGATTTATGCTCTGTTCGAAATACTTTGGCACCGGACAACTGATCAGATTCGGGATATAAAAAAAGTCTCGTGGATCCCAGGGTCGTTGCCAAATTTCACGAATTGTTCCCTCAACAACAATGTATTGTTCACGAACTGTATCATACAGGTTACAGAATATTTTGTCTGTTATTGGAATTGACCGGAATGACATCGTCAATATCTAAAGAAATATGAATTAAAAATATGGTAATTTTGAAGGCATAGATTCATTTCATATACACCAAGTTAATTTTAGAAGAAAAAGATATGGAAAAATCAATGGATGAGATGAAAGTTTTCCGCTTTTCCTCATTCTATTAGACAAATGAAATCACTCACTTGTATAATATGATTATAGGGATAAAGTGAATTAAGTCGTCTGTCATATGTTGCTGAATATATATAGAGACCATCATTTTGAAACCAATCGTTTGCTATCACTATTCCAGGCCTTTTCAAATAGCATCGCCACCAATATTGCCTTACTTCCCTTGCCTAAAAATGAAAAAATAAGAAAGAGGGGGAAAAAATAATATAATGGATAAAGAGTCGCTCCTGTTATTCAACAGAGAAAGGAATAGTTCAGGAAATTTTGAGAAAAGTTTAATCTAAAAAACCTAGTGCAAGGTAATCAATGCAATAGCAAAATTCCAGAAATAAACTAATTAGACTTCAAAAAAATTACTTCTTCGACTACGGGTCGAATTTTAGCTTTGCCAAGTTTAAGATCATACATGTACTGCATTGTTTCCAATACGTAATCCATATCATCAGTGAAACTTCCTTCATCATTTTTACAATCATCATTATTATCTTCCGTTTGATACTCTACTCTTTCAGAATTCTCTAGATAAATGCGCAGTTGATCCAAAGTAATTCTTAGAAGTAAAAGGAAGCAGGAAATATATGCAAGTCGGATTCGTGAATTCCAAAAGTTGTACATTACTATGGATCATACAATAGAATGTTATAGGGTGACGAATGAACGATACGACCAATTCTTTACTCATAATAATTGTTGTTTTCTTGCTCGATACATTGATTAGATATCCGATAGATTTCGTCTTTCACCGGCACTATAAGGTAAACAGAAATATAAAATAGTTATATAAGTAATTTTAATTTGTTACGTCATATTTTTCACTGATAATTATTTTATAATTCGTGACTATACCATCTATTATTATTATTACTACTACTATACAGAGGTAAATACTCGAGAGAGATTAATAGTAAAAGAGTAATGGCAGATTAAGAAGGAAACGAATGGATACAAACGGTCACTAGAAATTTTTGAATTTGAAAACCTGGAAATTTTTACGAATCAACAAGAAAAAAGTTTAAAACTACATCTTTATGATTTGATATAAAATAAACAAGTGGAAAAGAGGACATCATTTGACCAAATCATTTGTTTGAATTCATAACTATAGCGGATTTTCTATCTATCCAAATTCAAAACCAATCTATAAAGAATGTATTGTAGCGAAAGAAATCACTATTGACCAATAAGTAAGCATATAAGTTTTCGCATATTCACGAACATGACGTAAAACGTTACAGATGACTGTCCATTCAATCAGAAACATCAGCTAAGTTGATAATAATTTACAGTTTTGCAGTTAGTATTTCAAGATCGATATTCTGATTTTAAAAATTCTATAATGAATTATTTTACGAATTTTTCTTTCGCAAAATTCACTATCACTACTAGGAATATGAGCAAATTTTTACATTTTAGATTAACTGCAATTATTTCCTGACAATTACTAAACTACAATGTAATTAATGACAAGTTGTTAATGAGTAATAATGCATTAACTTCATGTAACCTAGAATTAGCCTCAAAAGAAAAAAAAAAAGTATGCAAACATTTCAGTCTTTATTATTAAGAGAAGAGACAAGTATGGATGAGATTCAAATTAAATGGTTAGATTTCAGATAGACATCTCTGATACCATTCTATCCTGTTCCTTCAAATTAGTTTGTCCTTAATAAATTCAAATTCATAGACTTATCCAGGAACTTGGTTACCCATGTGAAATCTGGGATATCTAAAATTCATCCCTCAGCAAATGAGATCTTGTCTTCCTTAACACTTTTCCGGAAGCTCTTATTTTATATCAAGCATTCCTTCAATTCTCAATTTTAAATTTTAATAGCTCAATAGTCTGTTAAAATTCGAAAAAAGAAAGAGACTGTTGGGAAGATTGCAATGGCCTAAATTATCAGAACAATTTCAGAGTGAAAAAATTGCAGATTTTTGAAGTTTCTTCTCTCAAAAACATCCTGTTCCGCTAGTTTATTTTGTGACAGTTTGTTCGAAATGATCAATTGTCAACCCATCACTCAACTCTCAACTCCGATACACCTTAAATGACAAGACATCCCATAAAACTACGCAAGACAGTCATATTTGCGTGTCATTTCATTGATTTTTAGAGATTTCGCTTTTGGTGAAGTTATTCAAAATGGAAAATGGGTTAGAATGGTAGATGAACAATAGGTCTGACACTATAATTATCACTTAATAATTTAGTAATATCACAATCAACCCGAGTAGTGTGGGGCAGATGACAAATAAAGTAGGTAAGCATAAAGTGATAATAAGCACACAACAGGTAAGTAAAAGGTGATAATGATCACGCAACATATACCATTCCAAGTATTAGTCAACCAACGGCTATTCCCACGTGGACTATTCCTGCGTACGCTTCACACATTTTACTGAAGATAATTGCTGAAGCTTACGATGAAGTATAATCATGCACTGCAATGAGAAAGAACACACATAAACATTGGATGGCAAATACAGCACTTCAGAAGATCCATGCTTCAACACATACGCAGGCGCAAATTGCATACGCGCCAAAATGCGTTGAAACGTCTATTCGATAAAGATAGTTAGCAGATAAAATCTGTCAATTCCGCGTTAAGATTAGAGATGCATCAATATTGAAGCAAAGGAGATTGGTTTTCATCGTCACAGAAGTTTAGAATTGAAGTGCGCAAAAGGTTAGGGGATGCTTCAGTAGTGAGAAGCAAGGAAGGGAGACTGGTTTTCATCGTCATAGAAGCCTGTTTTGACAGGAAATGAATATAAGAAGACTGAGTTGTTCAAAAAAAGAAAATGTAAATGAAATAAAAGATGTCGCCATAGATTGACTACAAATTTTGTATTTTGACCATAGAATGACTGATCAAAGATTACTGACAGATAGACTTTCGAGTATACTTCTATTCTTATATGCTAACACTTTAGAATGTTATATAGCTAAAGGGACAGGATGTGGTCATCTATTGGAACACAATAATATATATCATCCAACATATCCATCATCATATCAGGAGTAACTGATAATATGTGTAATACTTGGAAAGGCATAAGTAAAGTAAGTTAAGATAGTGATAAGTTCAACATGCATCTCCTCTGCTTCATTTCCATTACAAAATCCAATTTTAACACCGAAAATTCCGAGTAAAATTATCAATAATGGAAACGATGACCATTGTCATCACTAAAAAGGTCATATTTTTAGCAACTCCGACAAGAGCCATCTGAATGTTGCATATACATTTATGCATGTCCTCTGATCCTTCCTCCATTAAAACTCATTTTCCACTCTTCGGAAAAACTTTAATATCCCAAACGTTGAATGACCTGTTTTTTACTGCATTCTAACCTTTAACCTTTATATGAAATTTGCCTTAGAGAATATGGCATATTGAGGAATGTAAAGAATAAAGAATGATTATTAATGCATCATGTCACCACCACTACATTACCTATCCACTTTCACTTTTTCTATTCTTTCATGTAATTCTAGTACCTCTTATGATACCAGTGGACGCTTATAGATTTTCAGGTATTCTCTGATGTGCGGAAATGTACATAATGCGACAGATTTGTAGTGAACAGCGTTGGCCCAAAAGATTCCATCGATGATAGTCTACGAGAAATTAAGCTATCTCGTTCAGTGCATTGGATCGTTCTCAGCTAGCATTTCCTAGAAATGTTTGAAAATTCTAGACCAAAATCTGATAAAGTTACATTCCAAATTCATCTTGATCATTTCATTCACAAAATCATTATTGATTGATAAAGTATTTCGAAGTGTCGATTGCTCTTTATGATCATTGATATAACTGACATATATTCATTCATTTACTTCTCTTTAATGTATAATATTAATCATAATCAAGTGATTGACTTCCTCTTAAAGCAGCAAATATTTCCATAGCATTCTTATAATCTTTCATTTCAGCAGCATGCATTGGATGTCCTTTTAATTGATACTGTAAATAATTAGGACTTAATTTGTAATGACAAGAATACGTCCTTCTTACTCCCTTTTTTCCTTCTAAACAATCTCTTGCGTTTATTTCACGAAAATCAAGTAATTAACTAATCAATTAGTAATTAATTAATTGTTGGCTCAATTGATCGGAGTAGCGGAAATTGGTGTTAAAAAAAGTGCGCACTTAAATAAGGTTTAACTTTTAACCTTAAGATATTTCCAAAATCCGATTGTGAAACGACGCAGTTGACATTGTATTCGTGTAGCTTTCCATTGGCGTAAAGCGTTGGTGACATCCTTAATACTTCAGATGCTTTCATTTATGATTGCTATTAAAAGTTTTTTATAATAATTTATGATAAATTTTCAAATCATTTGATTCAAAATTTCTAGGGCCTCGTAAAGCCTAAGATATTTACAATGCTATAGATTCAAAATCTTTTTTCTTTTTGTTTTACTCCCATTATTTCTAAATTTGTTAATCCTAATTATCCTAATTATTAAATTTGAAAAGTAGGGAATACGGTTGTTTTATCGTTACTTTTCATCTATCTACATGATTTATAATTGTTCAAGTCATTTGACCTGAACAATTTTCAAATTATGCATGCATAAATATTCCCAGAATTTCTGGAAATAAATCAATACTCGAGTATAGCTTACTATGTTTTAGAGTAATTATGCACTTTTCATCTATATTAATTCTATCATTTTTCAATGAAATAATCATTCTTCAATTTTACATCACTTTTTTTTTTTCAACAATAAGTTATTACCTGATAGTATTGCTTATTTTCTTCGTCCCACTCATCATAACCTGGTGGTGGTTTATTTCGGCGTCTTCTATGGCGTCGAATACCTGTCCTGCTTGTTGTCCACTGAGTAGTATTCTATGCATATTTCATTACTAGTGAAGCAAATTATGACAATTAGCATATTTCTGTCGGAAAGCTTAAATGAACTGTCCGAAAACTTCTTTGATACCATATGGAATGTCCCGATAAGAAAGAACTGTTAAAACGAAACAAAATACAATAAAGTACGAACCACTGACAAAGCAGGACTGGTTTCCATCAAATTTCCGGTAGCTCTTTCAACATCCTAAAAATATACATGATAATTGAAGTTACATTGAGATCAATAATTTGTAATTATTCTTTTAATCATAAAAACGCTTCAGAATGAACACTCTGCGCCCAACTTGAAATAATTGAATGTACAATTGAATGTAAATTGAATGTACAATTCCCTCTTCCGTACTTAAAAAAAAAAAAAAAAAAAACAAATATTTCTTCCAAGTTTTTGCCAAAAGACATTCACTTCATATTCTTTCATTTTCGTCATTTATTCATTTCCTACGTATGCAGAGTGATTGTTATGGGTAAGAAAAAATTCCTATCATTTTAAGATAGGCAAAATATCGTATTGAAATATTAAATGAAGTATGACATTTGAATTTATACATCATTTTTCTTCATAATATACTTAGCATCATTCATGATTTTGAAGAGTTTTAAAGTAAGCCTGGAACTTTGAAATGAGATTTAAAATTAGAAGGATTTTTACCAGAGCCTGATTTCTCCCATACCTTATCTATTGATCTTTCGGCACTTTTCATCATTTGCCGAATCCCAACAGTGACTGCCCTGCAGATTCTCGAAAATGACCATTTGTGCGGAAAACTGTGATTAAATATTAATGATTAAATGATAATTTATGTTGAAAATCGTATTATCTTTTCGTTCAGAATATTTGCATTGAACTTCCTTAGTCACACTTTTAAATTACCAATTTTAATTTCAAATCATATTTAGTGTTACCAGAATCCACTAAGGACGGTTGTTTATGGCAGAGGAAGAGACTATTGGACTTACAAGACTTGAAAAAGTTTTTTTCTCCTTACTTGAAAAAGGAAGACGTTCCCAAATGGGTTAATTTTGGCTTGTTTAGACTTAAGTTTGCATTTTTCAAAAATTCAGGAACTATCCGATATTCAAGAAATAAAACTCAAACTGTATAAATTGGAGGATGCCGGGAAAAGCAATGCGAATAAATGGTTGGTATCGCTATTCCCGGTAAGAAACTTTAAACTTCTAAGCTTCCATTTTTTCATTCAGTTGAATAAGTATTGGTTTGTAAAACAAATTTATGTGGAAATTTTTATAAAAGCTATTTTAGATGAAATTATTTCTTAGCATTCCATGATACTCTATGCGTCAATTTTTAACACAAATGTTAAATAGGATCGATGGCCATACAACGTTGGTGGTTACAAAGTAGAAATCGAATTCACGAAGGAATACCCATTTAAACCACCGAAAATCAAATTCCTCACCAAGGTGTACCATCCTAATGTCAACGAAAATGGAGAGGTATATCTTCCATAAGCAATAATTAAACAACTCGAACTTGAATTCTTCAACAAGTCACTATCGAGAGAGAACTTCAGAATACATTAAAAGATAACTAGTAATTCCTAAAACAGATCCTTTTGTCAGGTGTCACTAGCCATGGCAACTAAAGAGAACTGGAAGCCATCTATCAAGATTGATCAATGTTAGTTAATAAATTGAATAATATATTCATCCTAACTATAAGAGAACAACTTCTTTGTTTCCTTGAGTAATTATGCCATAATGTAAAGTTGACCATTTTCGAGAAACCATAGGGTGGGTACGATGAGAACCTTATAATGTAAATATGTCACCAAAGCGATAGCAAGTGAATAACACGAACATCACCATCAGTGATGGAAAGAAATGGTGCCACTGACCCATTTTACGTCCCTAATAATTTTCAAAGTAAATTCGACATAGCATTCAATGCTGCCTAATGGACATATATTTTCAACATGAGCTTTGCTTCTAGAGCTCATTCCAGCATGATACACTCAAAGCCCTTTCCAGTGTTGACGGCACTCGCAGAATTACTCTGCTCGCCACAGCTTGGTTGTGTACTTCGTCCCGATTTAGCTGAACTATATATCAAAGACGTTGATACGTACAATAAGAATGCGTTAGAATTCTGTAAACATTACTCTGAAAAACAAACTCAATGTTAAACCAAAGTTATTCTTCATACTATGCAAATCCATGAAACAATTCCTTCTGAAACTTGACCATAAATATGTCTTAAATTCGGTCCATAATAAAAATGACAATGCATTAAAAAAAGTGATGATACATAGTTGAAGTCGAACGGCAAAATTATATAAAGTGCAACTTGAACGACAGATGAATTCACAATCTGTTTTATAATGAGTTTTTCGCATGAATAGTTTCCGAAATAAAGTGTAAATAGCATTTTTAGGAAATCGTGCAATGCAAAGTCAGTGTACAATGGAACTCCATCGAAAAGTTGGGATGGTTCTAGATGTGGGAAAGACAATAGTCAAAATCATGACGTTAAGGTTTATGGCGCCATTCCCGAAAAACCAATCCATTTTCCGGAGAACTTCCCAAATATTTAAAACTAAGATCTATGGACTCTGAGAAGGGAAATATTTTATACAAACACAAAAGGAAGCTTCACAAGAAAAACTTGGGACCAAAAAATACATAAACTTCGCGAAGAATTAAACAACAAAGGAAACAATGCGAGTAAATAAAACTTAAAACTGTCGCCGGTGATACATATCTGGGTCATAATAACTGGTTACCACTGTTCGGTTTGCAAATTTACGTCCCGTAAGTGCCGCCTGTGCCTTCTGACATTCTTGCTTGCTGTTAAATTCCACAAAAACCTTAAAGATGATAATCATAAGAAAAGCAAAAACAGTGGTAAAATTTGAATATCGAAACCAACAATGACTTAATGACACAAGTTTTACTTTTGAAGTTGCCGATGCTCTACTGAGTATTATTACTTACGGAACAAATATAGGAAACTATGTAACATCTCGAAGCAAAATGCACAAAGAACTGGTATGTTGAAAGGGGCTTAAATTCTGCAAATTTTAGTAATCAGCGACAATCATGCAAAATTCAAAGCAGATTTGAAGAACTCACTTTTCCAACACCAGTAACGTCCACTCCTGGAACTGAACGTGGTATTTCTAGCGATTTCACAATACCGTACTTAGCACACTCCTCCCGAATATCTTCCAGGATATCTGGAAACAAATTATATGATACCTGCTATTTACTAACAATCTCATAATACAAAACAAAGAGTCAAATACCACCTTACAGTAAGCATCAACACGTAGTTGTTGTGGAAACCAAATGATATTAGCCATCTTAAACAACGAGAAACTACATATACCTTCATACTCTTCATCATCCTTCAATTCGTCTTCGGTGACCATATTCATTAAACAGAGCACTTCAGTTGGTGGTCCAGCACCGTGAGATAAGTCTATGCCCGCCACCTGGATCTGTGGGAACGTATTCTGTGCAACATTGTTTCTAGCGTTAGCACAAGAAAGCTGCACAACAAGATTTTTGTCGCCAAGCTGCATACCATTTAAACCTGCGATCGCCTGAAAAAATATTTTAAGCATTTTATTTCACTCATTTTAGAACTCGCTCCTCGAGAAAACCTTATTTTGCTTTAACGCATTATCCCCTTTTTTCACAATCAGTTCCAACTATAGATTACAGCTAAAACTTTGTATATATTTTAAACCATAATAATAATAAATAATAATAATAATAATAATAATAATAATAAATAATAATAATAAATAATAATAATAACAATAATAATAATAATAATAATAATAATAATAATAATAATAATAATAATAATAATAATAATAAGTAATAATAATAATAATAAATAACAATAAGTAATAATAACCAATAATAAG